GGACCCAATGCCCATCTGTAGACAACTGGACATCCCTTGCAGAGGGGTAGTGGGGAGGAGATGAGTTGCTCAGGGTGCAGTGTAGCATTGATGAAACTCACAACCTTCCTCTAGTTCTTAAACGCTTCCTACCCCCAACTACCATGATCCCAATTCTACCTTGCAAACCTGGTTAGACCAGAGGATGCACAGTGGTGCAAATGGGAACTGGAAACACAGGGAATCCAGGACAGATGAACCCCTGGGAACCAGTGGTGAGAGTGGTGATAATGGGAGGGAAGGGGGAAAGGTGTGTAAAAAGGGGGAACCGATTACAAGGATCTACATATAACCTCCTTCCTGGGGGATGGGCAACGGAGGAGTGGGTGAGGGGAGACGCCGGGCAGTGTAAGATATGATAAAATATATATACTGCCATAAAATAAGACTACATGAAAAGATAAAAACCTTGACATTTCTCCAATAATGCCATTCATATTTTGTCTCCTTATTTAAAGCAACTTGTGATATTTTCCTTCCCTGAGCACCTGGAAACACATACAGCTGCTGGTGAGAAACTTGTGTGAATCTCTTTCATAGTGGTAGAACCCACAGAAAGGTCAGGTCTGGTGGAGCCAATGATCTGTGATAAGTTTGAAGCTGTCTACTGCTGTTCTTCCGACACAGACAGCAGAATGGATTGGCTAAGGGTCCAGGGTTTTGGCCTCACAACCTAAGAGTGTGTCGAGATCCTGTCACCTAGCAGCATGATCTGAACCAAGTGCCGTTTCCATTTAGAGCATAAAAAGTGCCTGGCACACAGTCCGCCCTCCAGAAGTAAGGTCTACTATGTGTCCCAGAGTCAGGGTGACAACATACCTTGTCTGGGTTCATGCACGAGCTTTCCCATAGTCTCCCTGACTCAAGCGGGGTCCGTTTATAACCTTTCCCTATAATGCGACCACTAGAATGAATTCCCCACAAACAGAAGTGGGAAGGTTGTTCTTATGTCAGAAACCGTTGCACATACTCAGGGAGGACTTGTGATTGATCTGTGACATTGACCACAAGCATCTCCATGGTCTGAGCTGGGATCTCCTTCCCTGCCAGGTGCCATCTCTCAGCCACACTGCACTGCAGCACAACCCACTCTTGGCCTTTCTCTGCAGCGTCACAGCGTTATTCTCTCTGAAGGTAGTTTCCTCTTCCCGGCAGCCCCATCACTGCACACCAGCGAGGATCGCGCCCCAGATGGACAACCAATAGGAAGAATCACCCGGTAAAATAGTTCTTTGACATCTTCGTCTTTCCTGAGTTCATAAATGAAGTCAGGGGCACCATGGGTGGGGCCTGCAGAAGGTGTAGCATTTACACTGCTAGTCTCAGCCTGTGTCCACTCCTGTCCACCTGGGTGCGCTTCCCCTTTGCCACTGGTCACTCAGAGGGACCTTTGCAAAGGGACAAAGGAGAGGTGGGCACAGTGGCCTGTACAACCTCCCAGCCTAGGGAAAGTATTAGATGGGGGTCAGCGCACGGGAAAGCCACTCAAACGGCAGGGGATGACGCGCGCTTTTAACAATGTGTTCCACTTCTCCATTCTGACGCTCCTTCGGGTCATCAGTTCCAAGGGCCAACTACCCCCACCGCACCCTCCTTTCTTTAATTCTCGCGCACTCTCCCCTCGTTTCTCCCACGTGCGCCCAACGGAACTGCGCAGAACACCCACTCCCGGGGCCGCCTAGTGCCCAGGAAGGTAGCTGGCCCAAGAGACCCCGGAGCCTGGAACCGAGGTCCCAAACCCTGCAGGGAGAGCGGCTCCTGGTGCTCCCGCGTCCTGGCGGCGGTCTCTGGCTTTCAGGCCCACGGAGGCCTGGCCTTGGGGCGCCGGGCCATGAAGGCAGGGAGGACGGCCCCCTCCCCAGGCCCCTGGCTCCCAGTGCTAGTCCTGGCGAGGCTCCT